CCCCAGCAAGCCTGCTGGCTGGGTAATTCTGGGAGTTGAAGTCCACCCATCTTCAAGTTGCTGAGGTTGGGGAACACTGTACTACAGTACTGATGAACCCACAGGGAGATCTTTTTGTCCTGTGGTTTAAGATCCTTTTAAACGGAGATGGACTTAATGCAATTGTTAATTGATTTAGCTTGGGCCTTTCAGCATACCCAACAAATATTCTTTCACCAAGACACAAACCTTTCCATAGTATTTAAAGGCTGTCCATGCAGGAAATCAGCCTCTCAGCTGGGATATTCCTTACTGGGAAAAGGATGCTGGGAAAAGCTGGGACAATGCAAAGTCTCTGAAATGTTCAGACCCTCCAGTTCACTAAACTAATCCCACAAACACACAGCAGTGAGAAAATATGGAGGTCCAGATCTTCCCATCCATTTATATACACACAGGAGCCCAGGCAGGATTCCCAAATCTGAAAAGAGCTGAGTATCTTACTGCCCCAAGAAGAGCGGTACGCCTAACGCAAGGAGTGAGAACCATTTTATCTGAGCTCAGTGCTGTCTCCTCAGCTCATAGGGATTCCACGTGATGCACATCCATAATTACCCTATTCTGGATCTACTTCCTTTTGATATCAGTGATTTATCTTCTTCCCGTGTCTGTATAATTTAGTTTGCTATTGCTAGAAAGCTAAACCAAGTCAGAATTTAATTCAAATTGTGAGAAAAGTGGCTAAGTACACTACTCAGAAATGAGCTGTTACCCAGGGTACTCACAAATGGGGACCACCTAAACATGCAATCTGAGATCACATAATACATTCAACCATCATCTGGTTTGATTTTGGCTTTAGTGGGATGGGTGAATTCAACCAATCATGGCTACCATGATTTGTGAACCCAACTGGCAACGTCACGTTGTTGAATGTCTCTTGTGACAAGCTTATTACAGAAAAGGAGAGGCAAAGCTGTTTATAGTTTGACCTTGCATGTTCACAGCCAATTAAAATAACTGCCTTATCTTTATCAGCTTTATTACATTAAATATCAATGCTAAAGCTACTTTGTTCTTGAAACTCACATTGTAACAGCTGATAACTTTATTGCAAAATAAAAACCCAATCCTACATGTTCAGAGTCACAGAGGCACTAGCAGTGGTCACAGTAGTTACCTGGAATCCCCTTAATTCTTTCTCATCCAAAGTCATGCAAGGTTCATCAGGAGTCTGGTAGCATCTATTCAGACTAATATGTTTTATTAAAAGACACAGGCTTTCATAAGCCACAAATCTGAAGAAGATCTGTTCATCAGAAAAGGTGCTGCCACACTCCTCCTGATTTTGGCTACTCTGGACTAACAAGGCTCTCCTTCTACAGTGTCTTCAAAGGCCACTGACAGTGTTTAGCTCATAAGCCAGAATGCTCACTGCAAGCTAGGGACAGTCATATCCTGGGATCGAGAGCAAATCTTCCTGGCTGAATGAACCACTGTTCTTTCATCTGAGATCCAGTAAAGCTCATTGTCAATTTTGCTGTTGGTGCTCTATGTTCCTTGTTCGTTCTCTGTGAAGCTCCTCTTGAGCCTCCGCATCTTGCACCTGAGTTAGTGCGCTCTTGTACTGAGCTCACAACAGTAGAGGCAGTGCTGTGGGCATGAACAGCCCTGCCCCCCCCATGCCATTCAGTTAACCTCAACTCCTGACCACCCCAGGTGGCCAAACAGATACCCCCAGGAAACTGATAATACTGTGAAGGGTACAGCTAGCATTCTGCAGTGCAGCCTCCCACAGATGTGTGAGCATGAAGGCAATACTGGCTGGAAATTATGGGTACTGAAGTATAGCAAGCGGGGGAGACTAAGGTACTGCCTCTGAGCCCTAGTGGTGGTGAGTGGAGAGTCCAGGGTTGGGCCTACTCTCCAGGGAAACAGGCATATTTCCACATTCTCATGTCCTCATTTCGCTGGCCTCGCGTGCCTCTGGAGCTCTTGGCCCTTAATAGACCTTCATTGAAGGGGATCTTGTTGGAAACACAAGAAAGATAAGGTGTGAGATTACACAGCCCTGCTGCACGCAAGAACAGCAAGGCAAGTGCTATATGATGTTTTGTGCTAATTGCTCTTTGACAGGAGCGTGAGAGCACCGAGAAGATTCCCCTCCCTTCTTCTCACTCACGCAAGGGCAACCTGTCAGACCAGCTTATCACAACCAGACTGTCTTAAATAAACTTAGAAAAGAAGGCAATCAAAAAGGTAGCGTGTCAACCTGAAAAATATATATATATATAATTACAGAGCTGCAAAGGGAGGCTGGCCCAGAGCCAGATTTAAATTACACTTGGGCTGGGAGATGGAGAGTACCATTCCACGATAAAAGCAATGACAACGAATCAGCTTAGGTCTGGATGTGATTTCACAACGGTTGCCAACACAGAGGCAGAGAGAGCGAACATATCTTTGTGAGGGACACGGACGGAGGCATTTACGCTTCCCTTTGTGAGGCTCCTATCTTTCTTCCACCTCTTTATTCCAGTGGTCTCTCCTTGTTGTCGCGACCCATTTGCCCCATTCCTTATCACTACTGCTCACTTCTATTGGTTGCCTGCAACAATAACTCGGCTGTCTCCCTCAACAAACCACATTTTCTCCACTGGACTGTGGTCATCCTTAAATAAGCGTGGAATGTGAGCACCAAGCACCACTCTGAGAGCAAAGCTGATTTGCTGAAGGCAACTGTCACGGTTCGCAGGAGCACAAGGGAACAGCGGTGGCCAGTTACATCCGCTGCATCATTTATCCAATTACTCCTTTGTGGAAAATACCCAAATTAGATTGAGAGTAACCACATCTGTATTAGACCTTCCTTTTCAAAGCACTATCCCAAATAACGTCCTAATGCAGCAACTGCTACATTTAATTTTTAAAAGCCTAACATACCAGTGCAGAACTCTTTGCTCGGCTGGGGAACGGTGATTCTTCTGTACACTATGGGTTCAGATTCCAAGATATTCTCATCGTGGCGGTAGCGGGCAGCTTTCTCACTTGGCGTGCCTCTTGAGCGGGTCCCGCTCTTCCTCTCGTACGTTTCAATCTCCTCAAACACAGCTGCCTTATCAAACAGGGCCAGATTCCCCTCAAAGTCAAAATCTGTATCTGGAATCTCTTCAATGTCATCCCCAAAGCATTCATCGTCCTTGTTCTTCAGCTGGCCGTTTTTCACACCGCTTTTCTTTGGAGTGACCTGGTTTGGATGACGGCTACTGGACGACCCTGAGTGGAAGGACACCGTAGTCAAAAGAGCCAGGTATTTACTTACAAGTACGGATTCTGGTGTACTTTGCTGGGTGATGAAGAACCAACATCACTGCATTCTAAATCATTAACCATTGGCTGCAAAATGTTTAGGGTGGACTGTGGTAACCCATGCTATCCTAAGGCTTTAAGGCTCTCTGCATATGAAGACTATAGCACTAAGCCATTGCTTGCTTAGGCCATACATATGGTACATAATTAGCTTGGTTCCTTAATGCATTCAGCCATTAATCATGAGTTACAAAACCTCAGTGCTGGGTCCAATCACCATGCTAAGCTATAACCATGCAAACCACATCATGGCTTAGCACAATGAATGAAGTCAGCTTGACCATGCCCATTTTCAAAGTAAGTATCTCCAGCCTGTGCTGGCTTTCTCAACATTCCTTCCCTCCCTCATACACACATTTCAAACCAGTCAGTCAAGGTGGTGGTGCCAAGCTTCCCAGTAGCATTTTACATCAGAGTAAGTACTGTATAAAGACACGTGAAGTCTTTGTTTCTCTCTACACAAACCACACCTACAGATTGTGCACAATTCTGGGCACCACGTCTTCAGAAGGATATTGACAGGTTAAAAGGGGTTCAAAGGACAGTGACACAGATGATTCAGGGACATGAGGAAATGCCTTACAAGGACAGGGGGAAGGAACCTGGGACACTCAGTCTGGAGAAATGAAGACTGAGGTGAGACAAGATATCAGTATTCGGGGACATAAATGGGTGCTGGAGAAAAGATGGCCAGAAACTATTTTTCATTGCCAGAAAAACTAGGGCCAGACGCAATGGAGGCAAGATTCAGCTACCTAGGTTCTGTTAACTATAAGGGAAAATTTCCTGACAATAAGATCTATACAACAGCAGAACAGTCCATCTATGGAAATTTAATGGTTCTCCATCTCTGGAGGCTTTGAAAAAGAGGATTAAAAGCCACTTCTCAAATATAGTTTAAGTGGTTTTCTTACACATTGTGGTGGGGTTTGGACTAGAAGCAGTTGTACTAGGATTTCCCAGAACTGTTGGGATTCGGGCGGTGTACAGATTTTAATAATATGAATAAGAATCGCCCCCAGTGAGGCACTACCTTGACATGGTTGTGGGGCTTGGTGCTCCGAGGAGAATGAGAGCTACACCAGAAGTTCAACCATACTGGACAGGTCTCATCAGAGGAACCAGATGAAGAGTGTCTCTCCAATAAACAATATGGTGAGATGTAATTTACAGAAACCTATACTGGATCGGTTGTCACCCGGGTCAACAAGGACCATGCTAGGTATTCTAGTTCTAGTACACCATGAAGGCTTACTGTATTCCAAAGAGACTAAACTGGCCTATAAGAAAGACCAAATGAAGAATAGAAAAGAGACATGGCAAGGCAAAGTATTACATAGCCAGTACACACACACACACACACACACACACAACTAGCAGGCAAAGCAGATAACAAGATCTGGCAATGGCTAAGAGCAGGAAAGTTAAAGAGACAGAGGGGCTAATTCTGGCTGCACAAGACCAAGTCTTAAGAACAAATGCATACAAAGCCCAAATTGAGAAGATAGCAACAGACAGTAAATGCTGCCTCTGCAAAGAAGCTGAAGAAACTCCACAATTCTACACTATGATTCAATGATACCTGGTGTAAATGGCGGATTGCCACTCTAGGGATCAGCCTGCTTCTAGAATCACCATCTAGTATTAGAGATCACATTTGGCTGAGAGCGTGCTGGGCAGCCTGTCAGTGGGCCAGAAGACTGTCCCTTGGACAAGATAAACAAGGGCAGTCAGACCAGTTTAGTCATGAGTGACAACCAACACCCAGGCTGCCTTTCTGTATGCTTCCTTTCAAGGCTAACGTACTAGGGCTAGTGGGAAAGCGCCAAAGGCAATCCGTCTCCTCCTCCATCCCCAAGCATGTCACCTGTTATTATCCCACCACCAAGGCTACTGTTTATCAACGCCTTTTATATCCAGTGTTATAAAGAGAGTGCTCTGCCCTGACTTCGGCTCGCACACCACAGGGTAGTTAAAGACCACCATCACCTCCAACAGCTCAGTGAAGTAGCATCTTCCTCATGAGATCCTCCGTCATCTTATTCACTTGTTCAAAGTTCCAGCCAATGCCATACAGTTCAGATACTGATGCCAAAGAAACTGGTGGAGCACCCCGAAGATGCTTATATACCCCATTACAAGTCCTCTCCAAAATTCCCATCTTAAAAAAAATTGCAACTGGGCAACCCAGTCAAGAGGCTGTGTAGTTTCTATTCACCTAATATTGATTTATTCTGAAAAGAGAGTTTCTAGATATGTCATATTGTTTATCCATCTAGTTCACTATTGCCTATTCCAAATGGCACTGGCTTTCCAACATACAAGGTTGTTCTGTTCCTGGGAACTAAAGACTTATAAACACATTACTACATATTATTACATAAGCTTTGAGGGTACCTAGTAATATTACTTCATGTAACATTATGTAATATCATCTGCCATTAAACATAAATTATGACTCTTCTCCATTACCCCATCATCTCACACACACGCTTTTTCAAACGTTCAACATTCTCGCCTGCAAAGTCAGCTTAGATCAGGCAAGTTAAATTAAAAGTAGTAACATTTAGCCTTTAAAGCTAGGCAAATCTGCAGAGGAAGATATTAAAACACCTATCGTTATTATTTGTAGTGGCACAGCAACACCCAGAATATTTACAATCATGGAGATGAGAATAAAATAGACTGATTTGTAAGTACAGAACCACAGGGATGGTTACTAAGTTCTAAAGCTGAACAGTATTCCTCTGGCAAGCTTGCCATCTCTGTTCCTCAGCCTTGTGGTTGAGCATAAACTATTAATATCTCACTTAAGCCACTGCACACTGAACAGCCCTGCAAGCAGAAATACTCTGAAATGGGTATCTGCTCATAAGGCAAGGGGTAACCAGATTCTGTGGCCAATCTGTTGATGCCATAAAAGCTCCTTAAACCTGCCTGGATAGATTCTGTATATCAAGGATTTCACCGCTGTCAGATTGACCAAGGGACCAATCTACTAAGAATACAAAAAGAGATTTGCTTGTTAATAAAAAAAGCAAGTGGTCATGCCAATTTTCTAAACATGGAGCTAAAGAATTATGCCTGAGACTTCTCCATCCACAGATTGCTCAACATGGCCATGGGTGCTATGGTAGAAGTCAGTAAGCTTTAGTTTGTGACCCCCTCTGCTGTTTTTTCTCCTTGCCCATCCCACAGCCACCAGTGTCTTCCCCACCGTCTCCCGCTCAGGACCTTTTAACCCCAATTATTTTTCAGGGCACCGTGAAAGACAGACACAGACATGACATGAAACCCTGAACCTCAGTCTATAATTTGCCACTGGGTGTGTCAGATATTCTGAGAGGCAGGTCTCTAACCCCCCCAAATCCTGACTTGACTACAGGAGACAATAGGGGAACCAATACTAACATCCATTTTGGATATCAGCACACAGTTTTGGAACCAATCATCACATCTTCTTATATGCATAAATACGGTCACCTTCTAGCCTACTGGCCCAAGCTCATGATCTCTTAGAGGAAGCAGGCAGAGCATGGTCGCAAAAATTCCAGTTACAGACCATAACCAGAACTACACCAATAGGGGACAAGTGAGACAACCCAAAAGAAGTCCTAAGAGACTCACACGAGTTGTGCCTACGGCGGAAGTTTTTTGATTGATTCAAGGATTCCATGTGTCGATCCATGTAGCTCTTAGAACATGGGTGCTGTTGCGGAGAAATAGCAACATCCTGGATTTTCACATCAGTTCTCCGGGGGATATTCTGGGGAGCACTGCTAGGTTTCTTGAGCAATTTGCCAGTGCCGTTCTGACTGGTACCACCTGGACCCTCAAGATTAGGAATGCCAAGGTCAGTGTGCTGAAAGTCTCCACATTGTCCGTTATCGCCAAGGCCTGGAATCTCCAGGATCTTCAGCTCAGTAATATCGCCAGCCCTAAACAAAGGAAGAGGAGCAGAGACAACGTTATTGTGCCCTAGTGCCTGCTTCTCATCGGCTTTCTCTGCCCTGTCCTGCTCACTTCTAGCCAGCATGGGATAGAAAATGAAGGGCAACACATCTTGAGCACTTCAGGTCGGGGAAGAGTGCTGTACCAGAACGTAAATCATCCTGGTTCATAGTTTAGCTGTCAGAGTTTGCACTCTCAGAAGAACCTCTGCCAGTAATCCCTATTTACTAACACTTCAGTCACTTAGAAGTGATTAGTACAAAAAGCAATAAATATACATCAGCACGTATTCAGAAATGAGGCAAGTGCCATGCTTCCAAAACACGGGGTTATTAGAACTTAAAGAAACAATCCCATCAACCCGACAAGGTAGACCAGACCAGGAGTTCAACTAGAAGTATACTTCACGCAAGATCCAGTAGGACAGGCATGCTCCAGGTCCTGTCCATGAGAGAGTGCCATCTGATGGGGCCCAGGAAGACAGCCTTTCCTGCCATGACACTCACCCTGTGGAACATCATTCCCCCAGAAATTAGACTGGCCCCGACTCTGCAAGGCACTGAAAACCTGGCTTTTCCATCAAACCTGAGGCCGATAGTATGGGTGAGCCCATTTCTTGGTCTTCATTGGGTTAACTGAGTGTTCTCAGCTGCTGTGTTATTTTATGTTTTTTTTTTTACTGTTTTTATTCTGTTTTTAACATTAGCTGCCCAGAGCCAGGTATATGAAATGGGCGGCCCTATAAATTTTTAAATAAACAAATAAGCTATATTAACAGAATCTTGCAAATCAGCCTACATTTTCCCTCCCCTCCCTCTTAGGAGGGAGTCAGTGGAGAGCAGTCTGAGTCTCTTTCGCATACTCTTCCTCCCCCAAGTTTAACACATGATTCTTCTGCACCTGCTGTTGCTCCAACATTTCCCAGCTCCAAGGTCATCTCCATGGCTCCCTACACATCCCCTCCAAAACATCTGTCACTATGGTTGCCCTGGGGAACCGCATCCCCCCAGAGGTCTGGATGTCCCACAGGAATCTGGGCCAGGAGGTTAAGCAAGCCCCACTGGCTGAGGGTTTCAGTGATTTGGTATGGGTTTTGAATCCAGGCATGTGACATTGTATGGACTTTTTTGATTATTCATGTATGATTTGGTTTTTTTGTTTGTTTTAACACTTGGGTCGTGTTGGTGAGATAGGACGCTATATAAATGGTTTAAATAAACAAACAATTATATATATCCTTCCCTACAATATAAATGTGATACGTGGAAAAAAAAAGTCTGTGAAACCTTTTCTCTGAAACTAGCAGTGGTAAACCACAATGTTCAAGTGCTCCTACAAGCCACTCTTCTGCTCACAGGTTTAAGAATTGGCAGACTTCCAAGCTGTTGCTTTTTTTTACAAGTATCTACAAAAAGATCCCTTAACAACCCAAGAACCGGGGATCAGGTAGTTTTCTATTGTCCAGATTCCCAAATGGTATGTCCCGAACTTTCAAAAGATGCTTCCAGCTTTCCAAATAACACGTCCATTTTATCATCAGATGCTGCAAAGAAGACAGCAACTTAATTTGACATCAGGTAGAAATCCCAAAAAATGAAGCATAAACTACACGTAGCAAGAATCTGCAGTATACCTGCTCACAGTATATTTTCAGAAACAGCGGTAACATTCAGTTTTCAAGCCTAAACAAAGAATGGTGGAGGAGCATTTACCTGAAGGTAACCTCCGGTACCAAACATTTGACTCCGTTATGGAAAGGCCGTGTTAGTGAAATGGTCTGGCTAGCTTGATCCACAGCAGACACTCTTCCCTGATAGACGCCCAAGCTGTCTCCACAACTGATTGAGACAATGCTTCCAAGCCAATCTGTAGCCATGTTTTCCCTGATCGCTGCAAAAAATTTAAAGAGACGATGACCTAACGTATATGGCGCTGAAAGAATTCTTGAAATACGTTGCCTGTAAAGATAAATATTTTATCCACTCCCTAACAGCCCAGTGAGCAGGCCGGGTTAAGAGAGCGACCACTCCAAGTTATTCGGTGGGCTCTGGGGTCCAGTGCAGGTTTTCTCAACTTCAGCAAATTTAAGACGCGTGGACTTCGGCTCCCAAAATTCCCCAGCCAGCGCGTCTGCCTGTCCATCCGTCTGCCTGTCAGTCTGTTCATCTGCCTGTCAGTCTGTCCGTCCATTTGTCCATCCACCAGTCCATCTGTCTGTCCATCCGCCTGTCAGTCTATCTTTCTGACAGACGTGCTGGCCGGGGAGTTCTGCGAGCCGAAGTCTTAAACTTGCCGAGGTTGAGAAACCCTGCACTGGAACCCAGAGCCCACCGAATAACTT